TCATACCAGTCTATCAGGGATTGATTGCCATTATGTTGTCTCAGATTGTGCTGCCTTTGTCTCAAGGACAGATGGCTAGGTATTGTCTGGTTTCTCCATTCCCCTGGCACTCAGACTGATCTTATCTGCCCACATGGCCCATAGCCTCATGAACAGGACCGTGGGGAGTTCTTTTCATTTCTTATTTAAAAGTCTTTCCCGATTTAAGCAGTTCAGATGGAGTATATTCCTTGTTTATCAGTTTCAGTACATTTTGAGACCCTTATCTGCATGCTGAGTCATAGATTTGGCCATCCTGTATTAAAGGTCAGACCTGAGAAGTATCTTTTTTTTTTAATTTAAAAATATTTAGTATGTATATGTGCATGATATATGTGTGTGTGTGGCTGGGGGTGCATATGATATGGTATGTATGTGCAGGTTAGAGGCCAATGTTATGGAATCAGTTCTCTCTTTCCACCTTATGGATTCTGGGTATCAAACTTGGGTTGCTAGACTGTTCAGCAAGCACCTTTACACAGAAACATAATTTTATAATTGTGTGGGATACATTCATCAAGGAGGTATGCTATCCATACTGTGTAGACAGTGGCTATTGGAACATCCTCCCCTTTTCCAAAAGATGCTCTACTCAAATGGCTCCACCTAGATTCTATGTGTTATTATCACAGGGAACGCACAGCTATCACTACAGCGAGGCATACCATATTTTACCTTATATTGGGAAAAAGTAGTCATATTGGAATTGCCCCATGAATTCTTGACCCTCAGACAGATTGGCCTTATTTGCTTGTTTGACCATCCTTTGCAGGGGCTGTGCGGTGTCTCCTCTTCTCACTTGGGTTATGTTAGTCTGTGTTTGGACACCAATTGTGTTGTGTGACTATTCCTGGGGAGAAATGTACAGATAGGCTCTCATCCCAAATAGGTTACTGATGACAAACCAAAGAAGAAAGTTCCCCCCATCTAGCTGGATGAACCAGTAAGTTTATTAGGGTTAGTTCCAGAGCTCATATCACTCACAGGCCCATTCAGCATGGGTGCCAGCTCATGAAACCCATGTCCTAGAGCTTCCTGTTTCTGTTATGTTTCATGAACTTCCTGAACCTCTCGTGTGTGTGTGTGTGTGTGTGTGTGTGTGTGTGTGTGTGTGTGTGTGTGTATTTGTATTTGTATTTGTATTGCCTGTTGAGTTTCCTGAATGTGAGGATCCCTCTCCTTTCTCCTTTACTGAAAAGAATGAATGTTCAATTTGGAGGACACCTGTGCTTAACAGATATGAATATATTTTATTCTTTTTTCCAGTGTTCTAATTGATTTACTAATAACAATAACATGCTTTTAATTGATAGGAAAGTTTCATCCCCCCCCCCCCTTTATAATGTCTTAAATGACTGAAATTTTTTTCCTTATAGTTCTTGAGGTTAGGCAGTCAAGGCACCAGGTGCTGACCATTGAGTTCCTGGGAGAAACTATTCCTCTCTGGATGGATACTTGCCTTCTCACAGAGGAAGGGAAGGGTGGGGTGCACAAAGAGTTTGGGTGCATGAAAGAATATGCATGTCTGTGATCAAAAAGCTATGTGATACCTTTTTTTTGTTTTGTTTTTGAAAGACAGTAATCCTGTTAGCCTGCAGCTGTTTGTCTATATGATGTCATTTAATTACCTCCAAAGAGAGCCTATTTCTAAATATAGTCATAGTGGAGGTTGGAGCTTCAATATAAGAATTTTGGAGAAGGTGAACCATGGAAATGGTGTATGCATAAGTGGACCAGAATAAAAATAATGAAATATAATTTTCAATGTATCATAAACAAGTGATTTTGCAGTCTCTGATTATGCTTGATCCCCCAAAGAACAATGTTTTCCACTTGAACTTAAATGTTACCTTCCCTCATTCCAGCAAGTGTTAGGGTGGGCCACCCCAAAGTCCAGCATGTGGGTCTGGTTGTAGCTGAGATGGTAGGTCCTGGTCACTAGTATTGCAGCACAGACAAGGGACAGAGCCATTTCTCCTAGGCCCATGCCATCGGGGCCAGCTCTCCCACACCCATGGTGAGGGATGGGTCTGTCTCTCCTGAGTGTGTGTGTGTGTCCGTTCAGGGCCGGTGAGGTGTGGAGCTGGCTTAGCATGGCCCTTGGGTTTTAACATACATGTTTCTTGTTACCCCCTGTGGCAACAGGAACTGTGGATATTACCCAGACTCTGGCTGCTGCTGGGCCATGGACTCAAACAGCAGCCTGGGGCCGGGGCAACACCATGGCCCTGTGTGGCGGTGCAGGCAACCCAGATTGACATGGCCCCTGGTGGTCCCATGGCCCTCAGACACCAACGTGACCATAGGTTACAAGCCAGACCCTGGGCATCTGTGTGGCCTTTGGTGGTAGCATGGGCCACAGACATACATCAACATAGAATTTGGCCATGGTAGGACCATGGACCCAGATAGGTTCCTTGGTAGCAGCTGGTGCTTGGATGTCCCCATGGCACCAGGTGGCAGCACAGGCCACTCAGATTGACATGGCCCCCATGGCAGCATAGCCCTGGGACACCAACATGGCCTGAGGTGGCAGCTCAGACCTCTGGGATCAACATTGCCTTCAGTGGTGTCCAGAGCCACAGACAACAGCACAGACCCTGGCTGTGGTAGGGCCACAGACCCAGACATGATCCTTGACAGCAGCCCTGGCCCAGGTGGGCTGTCTGTAATTTTTCACTAGAATCCTAGGTGGTTTCCGGTTTGCCAAGCAGTTGGTGTGTAGTTAGCCACTTAGTAACTTAAATTGCATTTAAGGAATGTAAACCCTTTGTTTATTAATGTCAGTCTCCATTATCTCTGTAGCAGTTCTTTTTGAAAAATAAAGTACTAGACATAATTAGACAAATGAATGGCTTCCAAGGTGAATGGTAAGACACTGAAAACAGAGAAACTTGGTAGTGGAGATGACGGAAGCCTCCCCTCTTTAGGTGATGGAGGGAGAGGTACACATGAGCTAGTGGGGAGGCCCTGGTAGAGAGGATTCTGAGTAGAAGAGAGCACATCTCATTTTCAGGGCACCGTGGCAGGGAGGGAGAAGATGTGTGCTAAGAGCAAGAGGCTGTAAGCATGACACGAGAGGAAGCTGACCGTGCTGATGCTAGTTACACAGCGAGAGCCTTCAGTAGACAGTTTTCCCCAAAGGGAGGTTCTTGACTGTTGAACTCAAGAAGTGGTGGAAGTGGTTTTTTTTTTTTTTTTTTTTTTGGTTCTTTTTAAAGATAGCTGTAAATGTGGTAGGAGAGCATGCCTTACTCATTTACATGTTCTCCAGGTGAGGCATGGCAGTTTTCACTATGGTCTGTTTGTTGTGGCCAAAGCTTAGCAAATAAACTTTTAAATACTGCCTTCACCATAGTGTTACAGAATGCAATAGAATTTTTAGTCAATTTTCATTTAACCCTGGTTCTCTAGCATCTTAATTTTTCTGCCATTTCTTTTAACTACTTTCTCTCTGAACATTATATGAGGAATTTTAAAAACAGATCAAAGGGCAGATTGTTTTGAAACATTAAATACCTTGACCTTTTAAAAGGTTTATTCATTAATTTTTTTCCTTTGCCGCCCCTCTTTTCTTTAGGTTACGTTGTAAAGCCTTGGCTAGCCTGGCACACTCGGCATAGACTAGGCTTTTCTTCGAACTCAGATGCCTACCTGCCTCTGTCTCTCCAATGCTGGGATGACTAGAGGCGTGCACCACCATGCCTGGCTGTAAAAAGGTTGATTGTGATAAAATTCACATGTAAAGTCAGGCAACTCAATATGGTCATTTGGGTATATTCACCACATGCAATTAACTTTAAAATATTTTCTTCACCTTCAAAAGAATTACTAATCATTAGTTGTTCCCCACCCCCCAGTACCTAGGATTGAACCCAGGTCCTCAAGCATGCTAGGCAAGTGTTGTACCACTCAGCTAAATCTCGTTTTCTTCTTTAACTGAGCATAGTGTTTCCGAGGGCCAGACACAGTGGTGACACATGCTTGGAATCTTAATTACTCAAGGGACTGAGGCAAAAAGATTGTCAGTTTGAGGTCAATATGGGTAATTTAGTGAGATACCTCACCCCCTCCCCCAAATTCCCAAGATTCATGTGTAACATATATCTAAGATACATACTTTATATCTGTATCTATATATCCTAATTCCTTTTTATGGCCGGCAGTTCATTCAGTTGTGGTACTTTTGTCATTGGTTCATGTCATTTGGGTTGTTGTTACTTTCTCAGTGAGCTCTTTGATGAATTTTATATGAATGATTGTTTAATGATCATCAGGTGCAAGTTTTCTTTCTTTCTGTTTTTTTCTTTTTTTTTTTTTTAAGGCAAGAGTCTCACTATATAGCCCGGCTGACCTGATCTGGAATTTGCTTATGTGGACCAGTACTGGGTCTAAAGGTGTTGGCCACCACACTTGGTATCAGAGGCACACATTTCACTAGTTACAGTGTACTGGGGTGGAGTTGGCTAGATCACATGGTGACTGTCTTCAGTATGTTTTGAAAAGCTACCATGCTCTTTTATCTCTTACATTTGATGTGCTGTGTGTGGTGGGTGTGCATGCCGGAGTGAGCCTGTGGAAGGGAGGATTGGCTCTGTCTTTACACCATGTGGATTTGGGTAACGAACACAGGCTGTTAGGTCTGGAGGTGCTCACCTTCCTCCACTGAGCCACATCGCTAGCTCTTAAGTGTGTTAGAAGGTTGTTCTACTGTTTGATACTCACACTGGCAATGTATGAGGATTCTTCAGTTTTTACATTCTTCCTAATTCTTTTTATTGATCATGAGTAAGCAAGTGTGAAATAATAACTGATTGTAATTCCGCATTTCCCCTTGTTAGTCCTGTTGAGCTTTTTTTTTTAAAAAGCTACCCTTGTATTTCATTGAATATAAAAATGTTAGTAGTTTCACAGTTGCTTAGAGGCACTTGTGATAACATATGCTTTTCTTTTTTTATCAGTTATATTCGCTGAATGACTATAAACCACCCATTTCTAAAGCGAAGATGACCCAGATTACAAAGGCAGCCATCAAAGCTATTAAGGTGAGTGATAAATTTGTGACTTTAAATAAAAATAACCCTTATGTGTGTGTGGAGGGGGTGTTGGTGGAGAATATACATGTACCACATGTAAGGGTCATGTGGAATCCAGAGGCTTTATCAGGTATCTTCCTCCATTGTGTTCTAACCAATTTTTTTTTTTTTTTTTGGGACAGTCTGTGGGATGGTGTTACACTGTCAATTTGACATGCTCTAGAATCACCTGGGAAGTGGGCCTGGGACATGCCTGTGGGGAATTACCTTGATTGCCTTAATTGAGCCGGGAAGACTGTCTCCTCTGGATGGTGAGACTGTTCCCCTGCCATATAAATGGAGAAAAGGAACTGAGTAGCAGCAGGCATCGTATTTGTTGTTGCTGCTGCTTTACATTCTGATTTTTGTTACTCTGTGGCCTGTGCTTGTGAATGTGGGCACTCGTGCTGCGGTGCATGTGTGGCGGGCGTTCAGAGGACACCTTTCTCGCCTCTACCCTGGGATATGAGGATTGCACTCATGTCCTGGAGTTTGTTTGGGAAGTACTTTTAGCCACTGAACTATGTCCCTTGTCCTCTGCTTCTTGACTAAGTGTCTCAAGCTCTGCTCCTGTAACTTCTCTGCTGTGATGGACTGACCTGAAACTGGATTGAATTGCTTCCATTAGGATATTTTATCCTAGCAACAGGAAAATACTGTGTTAGTCAGGGCTCCCTAAGGAAACAGAGGAGACTCTATTTATAAGGGGTTTTATTAGAGTGACTTACAGGCTGTGGTCTGGATAGCCCACCAATGACTGTCTCATGACAGAAAGGCCAAGAGTCTGGAGCTGGAGTCCTGGAGGGTTCCTAGAGAGCTGCTGGTCTTCAGTCTGCATTGGAGTCCCGAAGAAGTAGATTTTAATACCAGTGAAGACGTACGTACTCAGCACTAGGATTGATGAACTTGCCAGGAAGGCTGAGGGCAAGTAGGGAAAAAGCCAAAGCTTCCTTCTTCCATGGCCTTTCATGTGATCTTTGCCACCTCAGATGATCTGATTAAGAAAATCCCTCGTAGGTGTGCCTTGGAACTTGGGTTTTAGTTGATCCAGAAGGAGTCAAGTTGACCACCAAAGTTAATCCATTCTTTGTTAACTTGACACACACATCACATACCCTCTTGCTTAAATTCCAAATGAAAACACTTACCAGGGCATAATTCCACTTAAGTACCCAGGTAAAACTGCAAATGCAGTATGTATTCTAGAATAGTTGGTACTGTCTCTTGAGGTATGCTTAGTATTTCAGTGTTATCTCAGTCTGTATTACATTACACGGTAGATAAATAGACTAAAGAAAACATGGATATCTGCTTAATACATGTGTATGTATACACAAACAGGTTCTTAGCAGAATAGGACACAAGCACTCATGTCAGGTACAACTGCCCTTTCTGCAGCTGGTCACGGACTTCAGACTACCTCCCTCTTCTCCCCATTCTATGTGTGCCCCACCCTCAGCAAGCAGTGATTTTGTAGATTTTACATATTTACTTCGGCTTTATGTTGTTGATGCATGCTCGGTGTGGAAAAGAAAATCTGCCACCTGCACACCCCACATTTGCATAAAAATACATTTTGAAAAGATTCTTTCAGCTTAAGAGAGGCTCAGTGGTTAAAAGTGAACTAGTTTTAGAGTGGACCTGGGTCCAGTTCCTAGCACCCACACGGTGGCTCACAACTGGCTTATAACTATATCCAGTTCTAGACGCCCTGCCCTCCAGGGCCACTGGACACACACATACATGAAGGGAAAACACTGATACATAGAACAAAGAAAATAAAATGAGTAACCTTTTTAAAAATCCATGAAAACAGTTTTTTTGTTTGTTTTGTTCTTCAAGACAAGGTTTCTCTGTTTAACAGCTTTGGCTGTCCTGGAATTTGCTGTGTAGATCAGACTGGCCTCGAACTCACAGAGATCATTCTGCTTCTGCCTCCCAAGTGCTAGGATTAAAGGCATGTGCCACCATCACCTGTCTGAGGAAACAATCTTTTATATTTTGAAGCAAGCATTTTTTTTTTGTATTTTTCTTAGGCAGGTGATAGTTTGGATAGCCGTGGTATGGAGATGGTGTTCTGACATTGGCATTTGTCTCACTGACTACAGATTCTTAAATATAAGTTGATGAAAGACTTCTAAATACAAATTAGTGTATTGGTTTTTTCCTCTTATTGATTCTATATAGATTTAAAAATGAATCAGTATGGAATCATAATGGAAAAAAATTTGGCTTAAAAAACTTTTAAGTTCAGTCATAGACAATATCTTGTCTCGTGGTCTAAGACTTCCTTCAAGTAAGGATCTTAAAAATAAATGATTACTTCTAATGAAGTAAGTACTAACCTATGAACATTTAGTGGTCAAATCATTAGTCATAACTAGGTATATAATAGCAATATATTAACTATAACAAATTCTTAATTACTAGTTATTACTACCAAAAAATTCAGTTTATTCTTGTAAAGTTTTGCACACGTGTTTGCCATGGCATATGCTTAGAAATCGGAGAAGAAGTGTGCAGGAGGGTGTTGGTTCTCTTTCCTCTGTGGGGTTCTGGAGTCAGGCTCAGGCTGTCAGCCAGACCTAGGTGACAAGCACCTCTACTTGCTGAACCCTCTTGCCAGCCCTTGCTTTTGTTTTTTTTGTTTTGTTTTGTTTTTTTTGGTGTGTGTGTCTGTGTGTTTTCAGATTTATAGTTAGTATCTTACCCCATTATAGTTAAAAACTTCATGTTTCCATGTAAAAAAAGATATGGGATAAAGATGATAATAAGCACATTTAAGCCTGAGAATTCTGAAGGGAAATTAAATTTAGCATAAACCAGTTCTCTTTTAGTTTGCACTGTCTTCAGTGTGGTCTGATTCTTTGGATATGGTTCTGAGAATATGCAAACATGTTAATATCATCAGTACTAGTCTAGAAATTTAGGAATTGCTATGTTTTGTAAAACTGTTAAACAGTACTTGTTAAAGACTCAGTAAAGTATACGTTCCAGCATTATTTCCTGTTTTCATGTCAGAAGAGTATAATATACATGAAATAGCTTGTAGAGTTTGAATTGGGGTTTTTGTCAGTTGAGAATAACTCAGTTTTTACAGTGTACTGTAATGGTTGATGTATTATTACTGCCTTTAATAATTCTAGTTTTGAAAAAAGTTATAGTGTGTGGTGATAAACACTATGTTTTTGCCCCTTAGAACTATCAGTCAGTAAGTAACCTTTTAACCACATCTGCTTTATTTCGACTTGGATATTACTTCCCTTCTTTACTTTTTTCCCTCTTTTCCTGGCTGATTTATTTGACAGTTTAAAGGTCATTAATAATAACAATCCCTATATACTTGGATATAAATCTCCTGAGAACTCGACATTTTCTTTCTTTCTGTCTGTCTCCCTCCTTCCCTCTCTTTCTTTCTGTTTCTCTCTTTCCCTCCTATCTTTCCTTCCCTCCCTGCTTCCTTAGATTCATTTTTACTTTATGTTTATGGTGTTTTGCCTGCATGTATGTCTGTGTGAGGTGTCACAAGCCCTAGAACTGGAGTTACAGACTCCCTTATCTCCAGTGTGATGTGGGTGCTGGGAACTGAACCCAGGACCTCTGGAAGAGCACCTGGTGCTCATAACTGCGGAGCCATCTCTCCAGACCACAGTATGTTGATACCATGTGTGGATTTTGTATGAATACAGTGCTTTTGTGTTAATATTCTTAGAGTCCACCCATGTGTACATTTCAGTGTTATGGCTTTAGTTCTTACGTCTGGTCATTCTAAGGGAAGGGGCTGTCCTTTGTAAAGCAGAAGTCAGGAGACTGGAAGTACTCCTCAAGTTCTTCAAAACAGAAATGGTCTAGTAGTGGCATTACCATTGACATACTAAAATTGTGTTGTCTATAATTTTTTTTTTACTTATTTTCAGGTTTATGTTGAATGTTTTATTGTACATTAAGTATTCTCACAATTGACAGTGAATCATTTCATTTGTATACTTTATTAGCACATTATACATTTCTTCTTCTCTGCCTATTCTTGAAACAGGTTCTCACATTTGTAAATGTACTGCTGGTGGTAGAGTTACTTGCTTTTCCTAGTATTTTCCTTGATTTAGGTGTTAAAATGAGACTGTAGGACATTGTTACATTTTTCTTCTCTGGAAAAAACATTTGTCAGTGTACAGTATTTTGCTGTTAATACAGTTTGCCAAAGTGTGCTTTCATAAAGATGTTGGAAGTATCATAATACACTTTAGATACATTCATACATACGTGCTTCAAAGAATTACTTAAAGAATTAAATGTAATGGCTAGTTTCCTATAAAGGTGAATGATGCAAATCATGAAAGTTTTGTCTAAAATTTATTATTTTAATAGACCTTTGGAGCCGTTCTAAAGCCTGTGGTCAGCAGAAAATTCTAACCTGTGCAAACTAATTTGGGAATCACACTTTCTCTTTTGTTACAGTTCTATAAACACGTGGTACAAAGTGTCGAGAAATTCATTCAGAAAGTAAGTACATGTACTCTTTACTACTTAAGCTAAACATGCTGTAGTTTCCTATTGATGCTTGTGTTCTCATTCATTATTTATTTATTTTTAAGCACGTGATTTAACTTTTAAAGAATACTTTTATGTGTATGAGTGTTTTACCTACATTATGTATGTGCACCAAGTATGTGCTGGGTCCCCTAGAACTTGAGTTAGAGATGCTTGTGAGTGACCATTTTTGTGCTGAGATCTGAACTCAGGTCCTCTGCCAAAGCAGCAAGTGCTCTTAACCACTGAGCCATCCTCCAACTCCTTATGTTCTCCTTTTAGTCAAATACTTGAGTTGAAGTTTTGATGGACTGTTCACAAGAAACTCCCAAGAGTTGCAGGTGTCGTTCTGTGGGTGGGGTGCTGGCGTAGCATACCAGGTGCTCTGCATTCCGTCTCCAGCCCTTTGTCAAATAGGATTCTGCATTCACACAGCTGTGCAGTGTAGTTCCTGACACTACCCAGGTTCATGGTTGGGCTTAGCCAAGTAGATGCCCATCTGGACTATTGCAGATTCTTTGTTAAGACCAAAAAAACCTCTAGTTGCTTTATTTTTTATTGAAAAATGAAATGAAAGTGTTGATTTGATAAGTCTCAAAATGTTAACCTTTAGGAAGATACTTTTGCTAAGTTTGTCTTGTTTCTTGAAAACAGTTATGTCATTATGATTGATTTTTCTTTTTTTTTCTTTCTTTTTTTATTTATTTATTTTATTTTACAATACTATTTAGTTCTACATGATTGATTTTTCAAATGTTACAAATTGTTGCTGCGTATGGCCTTTAAGGAGATTCTCACTACTCATTTTAAGCTGTATGCTTAGAAAGCAACTCTGTATCTATGTAAAATATGGATTAAAATATTGTCTCCCAATTATTTTTGTTCCCCTCATTCATTTTGTCTGAGCCATTAATGTATTCAACAGTGCTGCTACATTTTATTTTGTAGACCTTATCCAGGGGAAACCAAGGCAAATAAAGTTGAAAATAGCAGTCTTGCTTACTGTCTTAGTTAGGGTTATTATTGCTCTGATGAAACGCCCTGACCAAGAGCAACTTCGGGAGGAAAGGGTTTATTTGGCTTACATATCTTGAATCACAGTTTGTTGAGGGAAGCCAGGGCAGGAACTGAACCTGGACATGAACCTGGAGACAGGAGCTGACGCAGAGACCACGGAGGGGTGCTGCTTACTGGCTTGCTCACTCTGCTTTCTTATAGAACCCAAGACCACCACACCACACCAGCCTAGGGGTGGCCCTACCCAGAATGGGCTGGGCCCTCCTCCATCAATCACTAATTAAGAAGATGCCCTATAGGCTGGCCCACAGCTTGGTGTAATGGAGGCTCCCTCCTCTCAGATGATTTTAGCTTGTGCCCAGCACACTTAGGTTTCCTGTCTTTATCAGGAGTCTAGGTGACTATTCGTTGTTCTTGGTCCTCTTACTTAGGGTCAGCATTCTGTTGACGCCAGGTTCTGGCAGGTATATTAAGACTCGTGCCTTAGGACAGGGACGTCACTTCCTTATACTTGGCATCACCATTTAGCAAGTTTGCAGTGTACCCCAGAAGGTGACAGGGTCAAAGTATGGTTACTCTGTCTCTAAACTCAGTCGCCTTGAATAGTTGATCTGACCTGTTCTTGATTCCAACCCACTTTTAACAAGGATTAATATAGACAGGGTTGGTGGTGCACATCTTTAATCCCAGCATTTAGGAGGCAGAGGCAGGAGGATCTTTGTGAATCCAAGGCCAGCATCATAGTGAGTTTTGGGACAGCCAGGGCTATGCAGAGACTTCGTCTCACAAAAACCAAAAAATAAAAATTAAAAATTAAATTTAAATTTTATTTATTATTTTTATGTGTATGAGTGTTTTGCTTGCATGTAAGTGTGTGTACCAGGTGTGGTTGGTGCTCTTAGTGGGCAGAAGAAGACATCAAATTTCCTGAAACAAGAGCTGTAGACAATTGTGAGCTGTCAGATGGGTTCTAGGAATCAAACCCAGGTCCTCTGGAAGAGCAGTGTATGCTCCTAAGCACTGAGCCATCTCTCTGCTCTCTTTCCCTCTTTTTAAAACTTTGTTTTCTCATTAAAATACTGGTTAAACATACTTTGGGATTAAGAAGTTTAGATAAAGATAAGTATACTTTTAAAGAAAGTCAAACTGTAAAGTACAATATTAGTGACTGTAAACAAATAATACAAGTAAGGGATAAGTGTGTAAAATCTTGATAATGTTATCTATGGTCCTATGTGTTAGTCATTAAAATTTTATAGATGGAATGATGGATGATGGTTAGAAATGAAAAAATTAACATTAAAACTGACTGTTTTGGGGGAGTGGAGGTTGTTTTGAAGACAGGGTTTCCCTGTATAACAGTCCTGGCTGTCCTGGATCTTACTCTGTAGACCAGGCTGGCCTCAAACTCACAGAGATGCACCTGCCTCTGCCTCCCCAGTGCTGGGATTAAAGGCGTGTGCTACCACTGCCTGGCTAAAAACTGACTTCTTAAAGGACTACTGCTTAGAATACTTAGGCATCTAGCTTTTGATGTAATGAATGCAGCCAGAAAACAATCTATGTTCTGATAATTCTCTGCTTTTGTTTGAAGTTACGCTGTAGGCAGGGTTTTTTTTTTGGTCAAGACCATGACCAGCTGTCCTGATCGCTCCCAGATAACCACACAGACTTATTAATTGTAACGGCTCAGCCGATAGCGTAGGCTTGTCTTTAGATAGCTCTTACAGCTTACATTAACCGTTTCTGTTCACCTGTGTGCTGACCCAGGCTTGCTCACCTCCTGTGCGTGCTTTCTGTGCTGCTGCTTTCCCATTGGACTAGCATCTCCTGCTGCTCCTCGCTCCTTCCCAGCAGGCTCTGTGCCCCGAAAATCCTGTGTGTAGCCGTTGGCCAGTCTGCTTTTCATTAACAGTGAGAGCAACACATCTTTACAGAAGGACTGTTCTACAACATTATGTCCTTACATATTTGTGTGTGTGTGTGTGTGTGCGCGCACATGTATGAAGGGTGGCATGTGCATGTGTCATACCACAGGTGAAGATGAGGAAACTCACAGGAGTCAGTTCTCGCTCTCTTTTTTTTTTTTTTTTTTTTTTTTGGATTTTTGGGACAGGGTTTCTGTGTAGTTTTGGAGCCGGTCCTAGATCTCACTCTGTAGATCAGGCTGACCTTGAACTCTTAGAGATCCATCTGGCTCTGCCTCCTGAGTGCTGGGTTAAAGGTGTGCGCCACCACTGCCCGGCTAGGAGTCAGTTCTTTAACCATGTGGGTCCTGGAGATCAGACTCAGCTCACCGAAGCTTTGTGGCAGGTCACTTACCAGCTGAGCCAGCTGCCCATCTATCTTGTGTACTTTTTATAAGACTGAAGCAAAGACCAGAACTATAGACATTGAGGAATTACAGGTTTAACAGTACTATTTGGGTCAGCTCTATCTTACACTAACCCTGTTTGTGTTATTAAAGTCAATCTACATTAGTTATCATGAATGACAAAATTATTTTTTTTATTTTTTTTGTTTTTTGTTTTTTGTTTTTTGTTTTTTTGAGACAGGGTTTCTCTGTGTAGCTTTGCGCCTTTCCTGGAACTCGCTTTGTAGACCAGGCTGGCCTCGAACTCACAGAGATCCACCTGGCTCTGCCTCCCAAGTGCTGGGATTAAAGGCGTGCGCCACCACTGCCCGGCGACAAAATTAGTTTTGAATCAGAGACCCTTTTTGTCCTTGTGAAGCCTACTGTTTTGTATGGTTACTACTACAAATTTATTTGTTTCATGTACTCAGATAGGGCTAGATGTTAATCACTCAGCATTGTTTATTTAATGCAGTCTGGATGCTCTGTTTTAGTGAGCTGCATCAGTGCTGTTGTGGCTACTATCAACTGCCATAGGTTTGTAGAACATGTCACCTCTCTACGTTCTGATAATGTCCTGTCAATTAGCTGTCTAAGTTGGAAACTTGGCCTAATAAAGGCCTTTAAATTTTCTATTGCATTATGTCAGTAATAGAAGAGATTCACTTGTTGTCATTTTTATGAAGCAGACATGGAAAATAAATAAAAATTATGACAAATACTCTTGGCACTACCATAATTTTTTTCCCCAGAAACCTTAATCCCTTCCAACAAGTACCTGTTTTTACTTTTTAATTATGTGTACGTGTGTATGTGTGTGTGTCTCTGTTTCTGTATGCCACACTTGTGCAGGTGCCTTTGGAGTCCAGAGGCATTGGATCCCCTAGAGCTGCACTTATGGGCAGTTGTGAGCCACCAGACGTGGGTACAGGAATCAGAACTCTGGTCCTCTGCAGGAGCAGTGTGGGGTCTGAACTGCTGAGCCATCGTCTCCCCAGCCTCCAAGTGTCTGTTGTAAAGTGAAGCTAAAGGAGTTGGTCAGCCTTTGCTATTTGTATTTTTCCACCTTTTGCTATTTTCTCTGAAAGAATGGCAGTCTTTTGAACAACTTGTCATAGTTACCTTTGTTCTCCCATTTAAATATGTACATTTTTATGTATTGTCTCCAGTCTTTTTGACAATGGATATTGATCACATATATACTCTTTACCCTAGGGTGGGTGCACAAGGACCTGGGCATTTAGGCACAGGGAATGTGAAAGGAGTTCACTTCCCGAGGTTTCTGTCCATATGTACTTTTTGCTAACAGTTCTTTGCCCTAGGGTATTTTAGGTAAGTTTTAAATGCTACACTACTTCAGTTTATAGTTCAGATATAATTTGCCCTTCTTGATTATGATGAGATGCTTTTGCCCAATGTTTTACTTTTTGTTATGAAGTACATATGGACATACCCAGAAAGTTGCTGTATACACGGCTGTGTTTTTGTAAGGGCAAGACTTGTTTAATTGCCACTCATTTCTTGCAGTCAAACTAAGGCCAGCTGCCTCTTCTTAATCTCTTGCATTTTCTCTGCCCATGTGACAGTCAGACTTCGTTTTCTCCTTGTTTCATGTTACAAGAAGTATGACTTCTGATTTTAATTATTTACAGAATATTAGTTTCTGTAGCCAATTTTACATGGACAATCCCTTTATATTTAGTATAGTGTGTTATTCTTGTACAAATGAAAAATTTAAGTTTACTGTTTTTAGACTAATCTATTAATTTGTATACCATGTTAACTCAGCACGGTAAATTTCCAAAATTAACAGGACAGCTGAAGTTGCCCCAAATTCAAGTTTTGTAGCACAGATGTTAGAGTGTGTGGGTGTGTAGTTGTGTCTGTGTGTGTATAGACCATTAATGACAATATTGTCCATCTGTAGCAGGAGCAGTCTTTCCAGGTTTTGCAGTTACCTAAACAAGATTATGGAAACATTTCATATACTTCACTAATAAAAAAAGCGGGGGGGGACAAGGTAAAAAAATCCTCAGGAAAGGAGGAGTTCTGTCGCTATTGTAATCCCTGGTGCTGTTTTTTTAGAATCAGTGTTTTTATCATCTGGACGGAAGTGTTCCAGAGCCCTGTCAGTAGGAACAGCCTTGCTAACAGTCACCATGTGTCAGTGCAGGTACAGAGTGACAGGTGCTTGTCACGTATCTGACAGCAGCATCCTTGGGAGGGGACAGTTTTGGCTGTAGTCCACCTTGCTGGGAGGCACGAGGCAGGAGCCTCAGACAGTCGAGCTCAGAGAGAGATGAATGTCGGCACCCTGTCTCCTCTTTTTGATTGAGTCTGGAACCTAAGCACATTCCTATGTTGCTCACATTTAGGGCTAGTCTTCCCAGCTCAGCCCAATCTAGAAGCTCCCTCACAGCAGTGATCGGAGAAGTCTGTTTTCATGGTGAGTCTCAGTCTCCTGAAGTTGAAAATGGAGGTTAACCACACTGAGTTACCATTTTTAGGGTATGTGACACATGCTTGCTGTACCACATACACAAATTCCTAACACCTCATTTCTTTTTTAGTTTTCATTAGCATGTATTAGTTACACATGAAGTGGATTTCATGATGGTATTTTCACACATGTATATAAATGTACATAATGTACTCTGTTGATTTATTTGGCCCTCCCCCATTCCAGCTGATATCCTTCCTCTTCCCAATAAGTCTTCCTGTTTTCTTTTTAAAAAATTTCTAAACATTTATTTATTTAGTGGAGGTGAACCCTCATCCATAATGCATGTGTGGAGGTCAAAGGGCAGCTTATGGGAACCCATTGTCTCCTACCATGTAGGTCCCAGGGATCAAGCTCAGGTCATCAGGCTTGGTGGCAAAAGCCCTCACTCTCTGGGCTCTCTCATGCCTCTTCCTTGGTGACGGACAGGTCTTACTAATGGGCTCATCATTGAAGAAGTGTATCTCCTCTAGCAATCACTAGGATTATTTTGTGAGGTGGTGCTAATGATGGTGGTTCACAGGGTCTCATTGTGGTTCTGACTGGCCTGGAACTCATGGAGAGCTGCCTGCCTCTTTCTGCCTCCTGAGTGCTGGGATTAAAGACATGTGCTGCCACCCCTGGCCACTAGAATTCTTAAAGACTTTTAATGTCAGGTTTCTTCCGCCACCATCCTTCAGTGACACTTCACATCAGTAAAGATTGGTCACCTTTCATCTCGCCCTCCCTCCCTCCATCCACCCATGAGTGTGTATATGTGTGCACACGTGGTTTCCTCCTGAGCCATCCTCCTTGTTTTGTCAGTGGGTCTGTCCCTGGGACCTGGGCCTTACTGACCAGGCTAGCTGCTGGCTACTGAGTCCAAGGGATCTGCTCGTCTCCGTCTTCCCACCACTAGGATGAGAGATGCTGGGCTTGAACTCAGTCTTCATTCTTGTGCAGAAGCTCTTTCCAACTGAGGTATCTTCCTAGCCCATCATCTCTGTGTCTTTACAGTGTCACCAGGTCCTTTGACTGTGAAGAGGAGGAGGATTAGTAACTTCCCAGTCTTCACTGGGGTGACAGGAGCACATGTGCATGTAGCCATCCCCAGCTGTTTTACCTGAGTGCTAGGGATTTGAACTCAGGATGTGTTTGCACCCAGATTTAGTAATAACATCATTAGCACTTTCCAGAATTTATATTGTTGCCCTGGGGATGACACTCATGCACTCTGACCTACTAAGCTATTTCCCCATCCCTTAGTGTAGATTTTATACTTACTGTGCAGTCTATAAATTATAGATTTTGCTATTAGAACCACTGAAATCGTCTGTTCATAGATCAGCTTTTCAGATAAAAAGAAAAATTAGCCACATTGTGTCACCCTAACTGTATCATGGGCTAGCCACTGCAGTATCATTCAGTTATTTGCAGATTCAGTCACTTGTGTTTTCCGATTTTATTTTCCTTACTGGTGACTTTTAATACATGAGAGTAGAAGTTCAAGTTTGAATGAATTTATTGAGTGAGTGTGTTTAATGTTGCAGAGAATGGTGCTGAACTTGCCCAAAGGGTTCTTTGTCAGACAACCCTGTGACTGATGATAGCTACAGATGCCAGTATGAGAATTTTGCCCGTGTGTAAGGATGTGCAAGTTTTCTGGGGGCTGGGGAGATGGCTCAGTGGCTGCAGTTGTTCTTGCAGAGGACCTGGATGCTATTTCCAGCTCCTTGATGGCAGCTTACAGCCATTTATAACTCCATTTCTAGGGGATCTGATGTCCTCTTCTCATTCCTGCAGGTGGTGCACATCCATACATGCAGGCACATAACTCATCATGTGCATAGAGTAAACAAGACAAGAAAGCCAAGTTTTCCTGGGTTTCTTGTCTTAGAGTATAAAGCTGGATTCCAAGTACATAAGCTCGGAACCCCTGTGCTAAGAAGTAGAGAGCCTTGTAACCTACAAAATAAATTATAGACAAGTAAGTTACAAGATAGTGACCCATTGGGATAGTGTGAATACTTGCATGTTTGAGTGTTAGCAATTTTCCCAGAGTGTTTCTGGTGGTAGTGTCATGTTCCTCTATAGACGAGGTATTCAGTTAAACTTTGGGCTAGATATATTTAGCATGGTACAATGGCTGTTTGACTTGTTCTTTTACTGATACAGAAGTGTGATGTTCAGGTGGAGTCTAGTGCATGCTTGCAGAGCATTTTCTAATCTTTTCCTGATTTTGCTTCCATTGTTACAGCTTTTCAAAATCATTAAATAATTTTTTTATAATGTCTTCTTTATCAGATTGTTTTCAGCCATTGAAATCAGTTAGGCAGTGTTAGTTTGGAATTTGGGTGAGTGACAGTTGACCTGAATGCATTGAATAGCCAAAGTAGAGTCTCTTCTTTAAGGTGCCACTCCAGAGATGGATGGTAAGGACTAGGCAAGGCTGGTATTGATTAGGGCATGAACAGTGTTTTTCTTTGAATAGGGTTTATACTGTTTTCGTCTCTCAAGGGTTTTACAAACTTTGTTTCCTCCCTCTTACTCTTCTCTCATCAGTGTAAACCAGAATACAAGGTACCTGGACTGTATGTTATTGACTCCATTGTGCGACAATCCCGCCATCAGTTCGGTCAAGAGAAGGATGTGTTTGCACCCAGATTTAGTAATAACATCATTAGCACTTTCCAGAATTTATATCGTTGCCCTGGGGATGACAAGGTATGAAATTGTTTCGTTAAAGGAGTCGTTACTCCTTTTCTTAGAGTGTTAGATTATCTTATTATATGACCTTGTGTTGTCATTTACTCTCAGTTACTCTGAATTCTAATATTTACTCTTAGAATGTTTAGAGAGTAGAAAGATGTAGTTGCTTTTGCTACTTTTTAATTTATTGAAGCAACTGTAAAAGAAATTGACTACAGAAATATTTTGAAATTGTAGTAGACATTGAGTCGTGCATGTAATCAGAGAATTGTGGGTTTTGAATTGATATTTACCATTCAGTTTTGTAGAAAATGGATCTGCCAACCAGTTTATAGAAAAGTACATATCAAAATTCTGTTACAGTTTTGTAAGTGCTAAAGACCGACACTCAGATTTTAGTATGTGTAATCAGCAGGTAAAGAATCCAGAGCCAAGAATAAAGGGAGATGTTTCCTTCATATCCCTTTAACATTACTAGAAAGTTACTTAAGTTGAATGCTGATTTGGAAGTGATATTTTTTTCTTTTTGTTTTTAAATTAGGAAAAGGTTATGAGTGGGTGAACAGGGCTGGAGCTGGCTCAGTTATTACGAGCATTTCTCTATCAGAGCCATGTCATGATTCAGCACCCTCTTCTGTCTCTCTGATAAACACATTAAAAAGAGAGGAGACTGGGTGAAGGTTGTTATAAGGAAGAATCTGAAATCTAAAGCTTACAACAAGATTGGGTAGTTGCATTTTTAATCACCATCGTGTCTTAAGTTTTAAACATCATTATTATGGGTGGGGATAAATTTGTTATAGCATATTCTTTGTAAATATTCTTAGATATAATTCCTAGAAGCTCTTGGACATTGTTTTAGTTAATTTGATATTGTGGTAAGCCTAGCTAGTAGTCCTAAAGAATGTTTCAGATTTTCAGGCACCCATATTAATGAATTCTTAAAGTAGAATTCCATGTAAAATCATTAATTCGAAATAGTAAGTATTAACAACTGATTTAGAAATCATGCTCATTTGAACTTGAATTTCTGACAGTTACACAATCAGTCTTAATCTTGTAGGTTTCATGACTAACACCTCTCAGGATAGTCTTTATTGAGTAAGGTATTTTAAAAACTATATGAGGAAAGATTACATGAATCTGAAATCTCAGTAATAAAGGAGTTGATGCTGTATATAGAGACAGAATGATGTTGCTGGACTTGTTATTTTGAAGAACGTGAGTATCAGACATTGAGAAATGTTCATATAAGCCAAAAGAATGCCTGGTACTTTCTGAGTGCCCTCACCGTGCAGAGGCAGGAGTTGAATCAGAAGCCTAGAAGCTTCCTTCCTTTTCTCTCTCCCTCCCTCCTTCCTTCCCTCCCTCCCTCCAGCCCTTCCCTCTTTCCTTCCTTAAAGGCATGTGCCACCACCTTCCAGCTGTGTAATTTTTATTTTTCTTATGCATCATTTAAAATACAGTATTTTACACATTTAATGTGACCTGCATGTTAGAGTGAACCAAATGTTTATTTTTAAAATTATTTTTACTCTTATAAAATACTATTTAATTATTGTTTTCTTTTCCAGTGCTTAACAGTAGCCTATAATTTAAGTTATTTTTCTTAATGTACCAAATTGCCTTAGAATAGTGATTGGTGGTTCTTGGTTATAGAATCTTTATATTAAATAGTTATGATTCAGATCGTTCTGTGCTGACATGAGGGGATAGCTTTTACTAGTCTTAGTATGGGTTTGGGTGATTGTTATTTATTTCAAGAAGCGGGTTTAATTAATGTTTTTTTTTTTTTTTTTAAAAATGGTAGAAAAACCTTTAAGGTTAAGAAAAAGTATGGTAAAAAATGTGGAACATTCTTCGTTGGGCATGTACTTCTGCCTGCAGACCTGAAGTCCCCAGGATCTGTAAGCAGTCCTTTGACTAAGGAGACTAAGTAGGAGTCTCTGTGCTCCCCAGAGTGTGACACAGAGATCTGTGTAACCCAGTCCTTTCAAGTTTGTATCACACTGAATAAGAGATCAGCAGCAATTGAGCCAATAGAATTTGAGGACTAAGTTGGGATTTCATGGGAACTCTGTTGGAGAAAGGTGAGGATTCAAAGTAAGTTGAAGTAGAGCTGTGACTGATGATATCCTGTAGCTTTGCCCTAAGGGCTTATAGCTAAGGTCTGCACATGCTGACACCTGAACTCTTGGTTACAGTCACAGTTCAGGAAAAGAACAACAAAAAATGGGTTACAGTCTCATTTTGTAAATGATGAAACTGGGGGTTTAAATGTTTGTCAAATTTATTGACCTAGGACCAAGTGAATGAGAAGTGTCAAGCACACAGGTCATGAATTTTACAGAAACTACCTAAATATGACATGACTGCATGGACCTCACCCAGAACAGGGTGAGGTTAAAACACAGCATGACATACCTGTAGGAGCGGTTGAGATTCTTTGAGAGAATAAATGGGATGCACAGCTGCAGTGAAGGGCCTCTCAGAAAGAGACAAACGATGAAGGTGCAGGGTTCATTTGTTTATTTTTGCCAAGTGGTAAAGGACTCAGATTATTCTAAGTCATCAAATAATGTAGAGCATTATTGATATAGAACATAATTCTTACCCCAAGGGCCAAATTGAATAATAATGCTAGTGGGGTGTTGGCTTTATCCATCTAGGGAGAGAGTAGGTAGGAACAGTAGCAGAAGTTCAGAGGAGAGGTCTGTGCCGCAGACTGTGCGCAAAGATATCTATTGCTGTGGGTTTAAAGTACAGTTATGGCAAGGTTCTTAGGCAGGAATTGAGTTTGGTAAATTGTCCTTTTTCTTTTGGTCAGGGAAACATGCTGAACACAGGCGCTGAGCTACATTTCTTAAGTGAAGAAATGCCCTCTCTAAAGTTATTTAAATAGCTTATAAAATGAAATTTGTTAAGAGTCACATTAGATGAGGACTTTGTCCTGAAGTTACTTGCTAGTTCAGAAGGTAAGCATTGTATGAGTCAGGGTTAAATTCACCTTTATGTGTGTGTACGCATGATATTGAGATAGAGCCCGCCTCTGCCTCAGAGTTCTCGGAGAAGGCAGATGACAGTTCAGTGAGTAAGGTGCTTGCTTTTGGGCCGAGTGACCTTCATTTGATCCTGGGACCCAAAAAGGGACGTTGTAGGGCAGTTGTGTAGGCGGCTGTGTGATCAGTCTCATGTGAATTGACATGCATAGAAAGTGGAGCCTAGTTGTCACTCTGCTTCTGCTAAGTGTAACTTTCATTTATCTTGTGGAGATGTCAGAAGTAACTTCCCTTATTGCCTAGAGCTAGGAATTGCAGAATGGTTAAAAACAATTTCAGGTTGGAATTTACCATAGAAGTATTTTAATCTCTCTTTCCATTGTATGCCTGAATAACCTATATGAGTGCTAAGATTTTGAAAGCAGAAAATGTTAGAACATACAGAATAGTTGATAATAATTTTTGAGACAGAATTTACCATAGAAATACTTTAATCTCTTTTACATCCTATGTTCAAATACTCTGTGTGAATTGAGCTGTGCTAATGTTTTGAAAGCAAAAAATTGAGTGTTATTTTTCTCTGTTCTTCTAGAGTAAAATAGTGAGAGTATTAAACTTGTGGCAGAAGAATAATGTTTTTAAGAGTGAGATTATCCAGCCTCTTCTGGATATGGCAGCAGGGATTCCTCCTCCAGTTGTCACCCCAGTTTTGGCCGGCACCACTGCAGCGATGAGCAATACTCCAGGTATGTACCTGTAGTGCAGACTCAGGTCCTGCTCTCACCCTATCATCTGTGTGAGCGACAGACAAGGTACCAGTATGGAGCAGCTTGTCCATCGTTACACAGATGAAAGACAGTGACCCAGAGGCTGAATGTGGTTGAATCCTTATGCTGGGGAAACAAAGGCAGGTGTGTCTCTTTGAGATTGTGAAATGAAATTGCTTTTGCTGTTAATCTAACATTTAAAAAACAATTTGAAAAATTGATTTTCTTTTTCTTCAATCACCAGAAACATACATTTTGGAAGAGGTGATGATTACAGTTTACTTTTGTTTTGTTGTGTACTCCCAGGGGTTGACTCTGGGCTCCACATATGCTAGGCCAGCACTCTTCCACTGAGCCACACCCCCAGTTCTCAGTGTTTGTAACTCCTTAATCTTGTGGATAACTTAACTTGATGTTTACAGGAAATTTGGGGGACGTAATTTTTAAGAAGAACCCAAAATACTGCTTAATAAAGCCAAGATTGCTTTAATGTAATTATCTCAAAATTTGATCTTCTTGAAACATCTCAGTGATATTTTCAATTTTACTCTGACCTAACATTTGTTAACTTTTTGGAACTTAGCTTTTGTTGTACACCTGTCTATGAACAGATTTCTTTGTGTAACCAGGTTTTGAACAAAACATGGTTTTATCTTACATAAACTCACAGCTTTTCTCAGGAAGAATTGTAGGTTTGTTATTTCCTCCTGTTAAAGTATTTTCTGAGCTGGGCCTAGTGACGCACCCCTTTAATCCCAGTACTTAAGAGGCAGAGATAGGCGGATCTCTGTTGGAGGCCAGCCTGGTCTATAGAGTGAGTTTCAGGACAGTCAAGGCTACATAGAGAAACCCTATCTCCAAAAACAGATAAACACAAACAAATGGAAGAATTTTCTGTTATTAACCTTTGATGACAGGCTTCATTAAAATGGTAGCTTAGTTTGTTTAATTAAGACAGGTACGGGCAGATCCCATGGGGTAGGTGGAGGTTTCCTGCCCGTTTATAAAACTAATCACATAAATGCTTTTGGTGGTTTTCAAGATGGAGGCAATAAAGTAAAAATAAACTATTTGATTATATTTTATGTATTAACTGAATGCATCTTTTTACCTCTTCACGTATTACTTACTTACTTTTTGGGTGTGTGTGTGATGTCTTTTCAAAAAGGAACCCCTGTGACACCTGTTACTCCAGCCAATGTGGTCCAAGGCTTACCTGATCCATGGGTGTCTCAGATAACAAACACAGACACACTGGCAGCCGTTGCTCAGATCTTACAGAGTCCTCAAGGTCAGCAGGTGAGCAGTCCTTCTGTTGAGTCCTTAACAGACTACCTTCAATTTTCCTTGTCCTTTCCGTTTACCAATGGGAACACTGCACGTGTGACTGGTAAGTTACACTCGTGACTTGTTGTTTTCACTCAGTAATTCATCATGAACCTTATCCTATCTTTGAGGTTTGTTCTCTGGGAAGTTCTTTCTGTAACAGAATACTGCGGTAGCACATAGCTTGGGCCAACCCTTGTTAGGTGCCATTGCTATCCCACTGATAAACCAGGGTGCTTCCTGTTGTCATTGTAGTAGGAACCACTAGACTAGGAAGTCATTGTAGAGAAAGTTACTGCTGTGGGGATCTGAGCAGTGCTTGTGGGGGAATTGGAGATGTCGGAGGAGTATTGAGTTGTGTAAAGGAGGGTAGGACAAGCTTGTCTCCCCTCTCTTGCCGTGTTGCTTCCGTCATTCAAGTGCCGTAGAGAGTGTGTGTGTCTTTTATGTCATTGTTGATCTTGGTGGTAAGGTCATGTTTATGTTGTTTTTTTCTACTATATTAATATTGTTTTGATAATTGTATGACTCTAGGTTGTTTCCTAATATTGCTGTTTTAAGATAGATCTGAGATTATTTACTAGCTGTTAATAATAGCTTTTCCATTTCATTTTTCTAATCTTTATTGACAGTTATAAATTGTAAAAACTATACTATGTAGTTTTTGTTTTATTAAAAATGTAATTGTGTGTTTATGAAGCAGTAATACGATATTCAATGCAATATGAAATTTGTAATATTCAGATTGGGGTAAATGGCATATTTACTACCTCAGCCATTTTTTCTTTTTGTTGTGAACAGTCAAATCCTCTTTACTGGATGTGATTAAAATAATCATTGTCAACTATAACTGCCCTCCTTTCCTATAGAGCATTAGTCAACAGCTTACTCCTCACTCAGCTATATATGGAACTATTAAAGGGTTAATGCTTCAACCTGGATTGTGTGCACGAAGGACTTCTTACAAAATCATAAAGATTTTGTCCTTGTATGTGTTTCTGTGTGCATGCACCTAAGTGTGTGGAGGCCACAACTTGCATGGATTGATTCACTCCTACCATGTGGTTCCTGGAGTTTGAGTAAACCCAGGCCATCAGGCTTGAAAGCAAGCACCTTTCCCCACAGAGATACCTCCTCACCAGCTCTCTTAAGTGTTTTTGTTTTGTTGTGTTTTTTTTAAATATATTTTTATTTTATTTATGTGCACTTGTGTTTTTGCCATGGGTGTTGGGGTCCCCTGGAACTAGAGTTACAGATGGGTGTGAGCTGCCATGTGGGTGCTGGGAATTGAATCCAGGTTCTCTGGAAGAAGAGTCAGCGCTCTTAACTTCTAAGCCATCTCTCCAGCCTCTTTGTTGTGTTTTTTAAGATTTTATTTTATTATTTTATTTATGTGTGTACCTGGAGGCCAGAAGAGGACACTGGATGATACAGGTGGTTGTGACCTGCCTGACATAGATGCTGGGAACCAAACCTGAGTCCTGGAAGTGTGGCAGGTGCTACCACTGAGCCATTTTTTTCAATCTCATGCTTTGTTTTGTTCTTAAAGATGGCAGAAGAACAGGAATAGGTATTGCTGCAATTGTAGTTTGCTCTATTCATCATTTGTAACACATTTGTCAAGTCTCAGACTCCCTGTTGAATAGGTTTCTCTCCTGTTTTCAGGAAACGTGTTCTCAGATAGTAAATCTGATTGATATAAAGCTGTTGTCCTGGTCAGGGCATAGCCCTTGTGGAATTAATTGAAGAATGATGAGAAGCTTAGTGAAAGCATCCAGTCTGTGATGAGTTCTTTGTTCCACTGTTAAAATGTGACTGTTTCGTGTGTAATACTCATGACTTTCCTAAAGCAGGCCAGGCTTTTCAAGGACTTAGGTGCTACCCACTTATCTGCTCTCCTGCTGTGGTAAACCCTGACTGAAGCAACTTGGGAGGGTAGGGTTCTTTTGCCTTACACTTCCAACCTGGAATTAGAGACCATAGAGGTTCCCAACTCAAGGTCAGCTACCTTCCTTATACTTATCCCAGGCCCTGTTACCTAGGGATGACACCACCCACAGTGACCTGGGTTGTCCTACTTCAATTACTAGTTAAAATGTTGCTGCTGGCCAGGCAGTGGTGGTGCATGCCTTTAATCTCAGTACTTAGGAGGCAGAAGCAGGTGAATCCCTGTGAGTTTGTGGCCAGCCTGGTCTACAAAGTGAGTTCCAAGGCAGGCTCAAAAAGCTACACAGAAAAACTCTGTCTTGAAAAAAAACAAAAACAAAAAAAAAGAAAAAGAAAATATTGCTAAGTCATGGACATAGGCCCATCTGACTGAGGTACTTCTTCTAGTGAGGTTCCTTCTTCCCAAATGAAATTAGGTTTGTTTCAAGTTGACACCTGAAATCTAACTATGACATTCTATCCCTTGTTAATAACTTTGACACAACAAAACACCACTTTAAACTGTAACTTTCCCTTTGTTGGTTCATCAAATCTTACATTAAGTCATAATATAAAACACACTACAATTTCAACAGTTCCACAGTCTTTAAAAATCCGTAAGTCCCTTCATTGTGGGCTCCTATAAATTCCAAAATACATTGCATACTTTCTTGTTCCAAGAAGGAAGAACCAGAGCACAGTTACAGTCAAATCAAACTAAAACCAATATCCAACAGTGTGGGAAAAAGCTCCGTATCTGACTCATGAACTGGGCTGACTCCAGAGTGTTGGGAAGTCCCATTTCTCTGTCTCTGCCACTCACAGCACATGCACAGCTTGTCTCAGGCTCAAGCCAGCTCCACCTCACAGTGCTTCTGTCCCGAGTGGACTTTTCACAGTCCTGGCATCTCCAGTATGCTGGGGTCACCACTGCAACTGAGGCTGCACTTTTGCCAGTGACCTTTACTGGCTTCTTCAGGGACTCTGACCCTGATGCATAGTGCCACTCATCATTCTGTTTATTTTTATTTTATGTGTATGGGTGTTTTTTCTAAATATTTGTGTACCACATTCTTTCCTAGTACTCACAGAGGCCAGAAAACAGTGTTGGATCCCCAGGACTAGAGTTATAGATGGTTGTGAACTACCATGTGTGTGCTGGACATTGAACCTGGTCCTCTGGAAGAGCAGCCAGTGGTCTCACTTGCCGAGCCATCTCTCCAGCTCCCATAGTGATGCTTTTTACTTTGTTTTGTGAGCCCTTCAATCACTCAAAACCAGTACCATGGGGGAGATGATATTTGCCAGATTGCCTGCCACCTGATGATTTGAAGTCTCAGGCCTCTGCTGACCCTGAGGAAATGCTTCCCAGGCGATTTCATTGGGGCTGACTTTCCAGCCCCAGCTGTCCAGCCTCTGTTCTTCCAGCAAAGCATATTAAGTTTCATGACCTCAGGTTGTCCAGCTTCTGTAATAATTGTCATTTCTGTGCTAAAACACCGTGACTAAAGCGACTTATGGAATAGTTGATTTTGGCTCAGATGTGCAAAGGGAGACAGCCCAGAGTGAGGAGGGAGCATGGCAGCAGGCATCTAGAGCACACAAGGAGCCCGGAGGACACATCTTCAGCTGCAAACACAAGACCTGTCTCCACTCTTCACCCCCTTCCCCCCAAAAATTCCCAACCTCCCCAAACAGCACCGTCATTGGGGCCTATGTGTTCAGATACTTGCATCTGTTGGGACATTTCTCATTCAAACCACCACACATTAAAAACACTTTGTCTTTAGGATGATAAAATTTATTGGCTACAAATGTTTATCCATAAAGATTCAGTTTCTAAAAATGCTATTTTTTCCCTTCCAGCTTCAGCAGCTCATACAAACCTTACAGATACAACAGCAGAAGCCCCAGCCTTCCATCCTGCAGGCCTTGGATGCTGGTCTAGTGGTTCAGTTGCAGGCACTCACAGCACAGCTTACAGCTGCAGCCGCAGCAGCCAACTCCCTTACACCCTTGGATCAGGGAGTCTCTTTCAACAAGGTACTAGTTATAAATACCTGATGCGTTTATGTGAACTGATAGACTTTACGTCATAGCATTTAGAGTCTACTTTGTACGTTGTATTTCACCGCAGACTTTTGTTGTGTGTGGTTTTGATAGAACCTTTTTGTGTAGCATATGTTGGCTTCTACTACACAATCTGCCTGTCTCAGCCTCCCAAGTGCTCATTTGGGTGGTTTATGAAGTTCTGTAATTTGACCTGATAAAATAATCAGTATGTGAAAACTCAAAGGAAGAAATGTTTTGTAGTTGATATTACTGTATATTTTATGTGTAGGTTTAACTATGAAAAAAATAGGGTTTTTAAAATTGAGGCTGTTTTGTGTATAGTTTTTTTGTGTGATATCTTCTTCATGATTGTCAGTTCGGAGTGTATCTTAGCAGTGATATATGTGTGTATATACATATGCACATACAAACGCGTGTGTATGTGTAGTTGGTTTTATTTTTACTCTTTGTTCTTTGCTCTTTGGGGACCTACCACCTAACCCCCAGATAATCACATGGAGACTTATTCTTGCTTAAGAATGCCCGGCCTTAGCTAGGTTTATTTCTAGCCAGCTTTTCTTAAATTATTGTCTACCTTTTGCCTCTGGGCTTTTACCTTTTTCTATTTCTATCTTTTCTTTCTTTCTTTCTTTCTTTCTTTCTTTCTTTCTTTCTTTCTTTCTTTCTTTCTTTCCTTTCTTTCCTTTCTTTCCTTTCTTTCCTTTCTTTCCTTTCTTTC